GGTTAAATGTACTTTTCCCCATTATAATTATCATACCACAATGTGAGGGAAAATGAGAAATAATAAACAGCTATAAATGCAGAATTTTGACTAGGAAGTACCTCAGACCAAAGAAGACAATAAAAAGTTTAGCCTAGAATGTAGAAACATTCAACTTCATGACAAAGACATAAAGTGCTTTCCCTGGTATGTAGAACCATTCTGATTCATGCATCCTCAGGTAAATATCATTAAAAGCTCGAAAGTAAAGAATCACCTCAAAACCAAAACCCCTCCAATCACGATCTATCTGAGCCAGCACCTTCCCATCGATGTCCTTTAAAGTAAATGTCCAATTCCAGAAGCCAGGATTTTCAACAACAGCAAACTGCTTATTCCTACAACATGTGATAGACATGTTCTTAGTTAGGGGTGCAGTGGGGCGGGGCGAGTTGAGGCATAACCCACAAAATTTCAACTCACCCCTCCCTACATAGCATTTTTGTACATCTTCAACCCGCCCCGCATATTTCTTTTTATTTTCTACTTTTTAATTTTCCTATTCTGAAATTTAAGTTTTTAAAATAATTTATTAATTTTAAACTTAGAATAAGTTAATAATGTAAATGAAACTGAGACAACAAAAGCAATTAGAGACTTGGAATAAATAAAAGACTGCATCAAAAAGTTACTCTAGCTTATTACGAAACAAAATTTCGAAACACAAGTTCAACATAGAGAAGAACTAAAAAGTTAGATGAACACTACAGAGACAGAAAACAAAGGGAAGAAATTAACAGTACAAAATAAAGAAAGAAAAATTAAAGGAAGAAATTAACAATTCAAAATAAAGAAAGAAAAATTAAAGGAAGAAATTAACAGTTCAAAATAAAGAAAGAAAAATTAAAAGTATATTAGAAGCACAGGTGGAATCCAAATAAACCCCCATATTCAATAAATACTAGAAGGTGGAATCATATATGAAGCGAAGTAGCTCCAGGTCATTGTTTATGTTTCCCACAATTTTTGATCTTTTCTCTTTCGTTTTGGTTTTGAGTAGGAGGGGAGGGCAAGGACTTCCTCTTCCGGGCCCTTCAAACTCCTCATCGGAAGATTTATTCGGGCTCCAGGTCCTGTCGGAGCCTTGGCCCTCAACTCACAATATAGCCTTGGAGTCATTGATGATTTAGATGGCATAGTAAGAAAAAGATGTAAACAATAGTTTAGGTTCTCCAATACAAGGAGTGTATTTTCTACTGACACAAAAATCTCAAACAAGATTGTAAAAAGCAAACTCCTAATATTGGATCTAATGTGAACTTAGACACTTCACAAAAATCGCCGAAACAAAGTAAAGAATGGTTATTTATTATGAGTTGATAAGAATGATTTGGTAAATGTAACTGAAGGTTCTCCAATGGCCTGGTCAGGTTCGGTAGTTTATGATCCAACCCCGAAAAAGGGCTCAAAATCATAAAGGAAGCTTATATCTCTTAATGATGACTAATTTCATCACATATACTGGCAGATCTTCTGATTCAAATTCTAATACCTGCAATATCTGAATCTGAAGTGACATTTGCAGATTCAGGCAGATAACATACCTATACCGCTAATCTAGCTGTCAATATGGATAGCTGGTTAAGACAAGAAGTTTGTGAAAGTTCACATACTATAGCTGATATTCAGCTAGAGAGCTAAAGTAAATCGGCAGCAATTTGCTTCTTATACTGATAAGCTAAGATAATTTCTCAATCATTTAAAAAAGCCATGGGTAAAATGTCTCTTTCCTACATTCGATTGTATCTGTCTACCATCTTACCAACAAGCACCTGTAGACATTTACCATAGCAAAGCCCTGCCATAGCTATTGAATTCAACTGCTACCTGGTTCCTGTTACCTATTAACTAAGTCTAAGATAGAAACTTCAAAAATCTTTACTAGTTCTCTCAAGTCGACAACCTAAATCATACTTCATCTCAAGCAATACTCCGGTTCAAGTTTTACATAATTTTCAGGATTTAACTGACTCTCCATATTTACTAAATTACGGTTCGAATTGCATACTAATTTTTATGAATGGATCCAAAGTAAGGGTTAAATTTGGTTAATTTAGACGGAAGTGCAAAAGGTGGAATAAAAGAACTTTTCTTCGTAGAAAATAAGTAACAAGATATTTCATATTAGCAAAGTGAACATGGATTTGCGATGGCTATAGATGAAAAGCACGATATTTATTTGAAAAAGGAGGTGTCTGATGTAAAATGTCTATTACCTAGTATGATTTAACAAGTTCTAGAAGAAAATGTTACCCGGTAACAAGGTAAAGCCCAAAGGTTGCTCCCTTCTTGTCGACCATCTCTCCTTTTTATAGAAAAACCAGGAGATGTGATAAATTTCAAGAACTTGATATTACCATACCACCCACGAAACTTAAACTTTTTTCTCTTTCACATTGTAGAATGTGAAATTAGAATATTTTCAGCTTTATGAACCCAACTGACTTCAATTTACATGTTAAAAACCTTAATCCAACTTAAATCCACTCTCAATTAATGAACCATGCAAGTTATTCAACCAATTTACAATCCCTTAGTAAAATCATTGTTACTGTCTCCACCTAATTTGATCTTCGAATCATACAACCCCTCGAAACAAGAGATTTGACAGAGAAAGATAAATATGTGACTAACATGAATACGTGGAAATACTGGAAAAGAAGATTACCCCAAGTACAAATCATAAATTCTCTTCCAGAGATGCCATCTTCTGTGGACAACACCAACCTCCTGGAAACATTTACAGCAAGACCTTAAAACTATTGGAATATATGAAGTAAAAAATGACAATTCACCGGAATGGCTTGTAGAAGTGCATACTTTTCCATTTATCTCTGCGTAAATTGAGCTGTTGATCCACCAAAAGGGCCTCCGAACCTTATTTGACAAGAGAAGATGGCTAAAGTATATATTCGGGTATACATATATTCTGAAACTAGAGCTAACTGAATAGCTCAATGAACAATAGAAAACCCCTGTTTCGAATTTCTTACCCTAAAGAGCTCATTACCCAGGGCGTCAGTTATGCAAGCCACAAATGGACGCCTTGTACGAAGAAACTACAATAAAGAAAAACAACACATTTAGGTGAAGAGATACTAAAATAATAAAATTTCTGGAACACTCTAATAAAGAAAAAAAAAAGAATCAGCTTGCTGCCAGTTTAAGGTATTAGTGTACAATTAATGCAACAAGATGCAGCTTCACTTGTGAAACCTGTAGCAAATGCCAGGTTCTCAAAAGCTCTTTCATCTATTGATACTTTTTTTGGGTCCCTTTCTGGGACAAGTAATGAGGAAACTTTTCAAATGCAACCTGCACTGAGCCAGTGCTAGAAAAGTAGTAACAGAGAGTGCAATTCCCCTATCGGATAAATCATCAAAATCTACATCATGTAAGGTTGCACCAGAAAGCTAAAAAAGAAATGCAACTATGTTTAAGGCTAAGTATGTTTCTATTTTTGCCTTCAAAAAAAAAATCTTCCAATCCAAAAAGTCCACCAGATGGCAAGGGGATTGGAGTTGCAAGTTTTACAGAAGGGTAGCTTAGTCTGTGTCTTTTCCAACAAAGTAGTAAGTCACAGGTGGATTTAGGCATTGTTCAAGTGATGCCAAGTATTGCTAAAAACACGTTCAATATCTGCCGAGTGATATTACAATGCGTGAAAAGATGATAAACATCCTCTGTTGGCTCTTCACACAAAATGTATCTACAGCAGAGTTGAAAACCCCTCTTCTGATTAAGAGGGCTGATTTTTTAAGTCGGGCCTGCTTCCGGTGACATCATAAAAGTGGGGTTTTCAAAAAGTGACTGAGAGAGCGTAAGGGAAGGGTTGAATGAGCCAAAAGAAATAGCATATGGATATTTCGGTATGTGAATATTTAAGTGAGAGAAATGCTTTGAGGGTTAGAACTTATAAACATAACTTGGAGTAATATCAGGTTGACCCACGAAATTTTGAAATTTGAAAATCTTCCACGCCCGATGGGTTCTTCCCGGGGGGGCTATTACATTTGTTGATAGACCATGGAAAGATCCGCTCCGAACAAAATCACCACTTTAGCTTTCTTCTTCACAGAACCACATTTGCCGAACCATAAGAAAAGGGCTTTTCCACCCACACTAGAATGCACCAAAATTTTCATTAGAGATGAATTCAGGAAACCTGGGTATCTTAGAGGGTGGGTTTCGGATACAAATCCTTGCCTTTTCAGAATTACTTCTATCTATCTAAGTCAACAAGTCTTCCCAAAAAACTTCCAACTTCTTGGAAGAGATTTTCAGACCACAAATGAAGAGGTAATTCCATGAGTCTGATCCAAGTGGAAGAAAGGGCCTTTTTTCCCTTAGAAAAGCAAATATTCGAAGTCTGATCAAAAGAGAAGCAAGACATGCCCCTCTAAACCCAGTTAGACTTTAAAATTGACATCGTCATGTAAACTAAGGGAAATTCAATCAGGAAAAGACCACCAAAGTGTTTCTTTTACACAACTTCTATCCTCCATCTATTACGAACTCAAAGCATCACATCATTTAATAAGGCAGGGATTGGCATGTCATAAAGCTCCCTACCAAACACCTTTTGAAAAATTCTTTCCTGAACAAAGTGAAGGCTCCATTAATGAGAATTCTATTGGTTTCCTGGTCTTTTGTTTTACTGGCACGAACAGAGTCTAGAGATCATTTTCTCAATCTGGTAACTTCTGTGCAACTTTTAGGCTTAGATAGAGTCTCTAAATTGGGAGATTTTTCTATGAAATTCCATAGCTTATCTGTAATAACAGACCACCCAGAGTTCTTTGAAATTCTGAAACAATAATTGCACTCCAACTTCTCCCCTAAGAACTGACGATACGCAGAAATCTACCATAAACGTCGAAATTCTGGGGTAACATAATGATTGTGCAGCTTCCTTTCTCAACCATCTGCTACAAATGTTTTGGTGGCTCTTAGTACCAAGCAACATACATGACTTGACAAAGCCAGATCAGAAACCTTGTTGACGAAAATTCAACTAATAAATCTGGGCTTGCATTTAATCCATTCATATCTGCATTCTTTTTCGGTGATATTCTCTATCACCTCAAAAGATTTGTTGTCCACACAAACAAAGGCATGTGTTCCACAAGAAAAAGAAAAAAGATTACAGCTTGTCGATGATCAAACTTGAAGATGACCTGAATGCCCGTAAAAAAAAGATTTAGAAAGAAAGATAAGAAAATGTGCGTTGTAGAAGATGAGAAAGAGTGAAAAATAGAAGTGGAAGAGTGGAACAGTAGCGGTAAGAGGGTGGAGAAGGGAATGCGAAGATTATGAGGGGATTTTCTAGTCTCTGGGAGACTGGAAAGTTAGAGAGAGGGAAGAGCATCTCTCTTCCTTTTTTCTTAGTAGACGCAATACCTTTTTTAGCACCCATCTATTGATGCTTTCTTCTCTCTTTTATCTCTTTTGATAGCTAAAGAACAATACTTATTGATGAAATCTCTAAGTGTACATTACCAATTAACAGAGGATAGAACCAAGAACATGACGCATCAAACAGCAACCAAGTGTCTCCTAAAGTTCACTCATGTAGCCATCACACGTGTACTAAAACCAACTTATCCTAACTAATACTAGGACTGATGAGTAGAGTCAAACCCATGATCCCCTTCAAGAACATATAGCCTATTTCGCCAAGCTTCTTTTTGGGCAAAACCGCGAAAGTATTTTTTTTCCAAAATTAAGGTATTTGGCCAAGCATCTAGAAGGAAAAAAGGTATTTTTGAGTAGAAGCAGAAGCAGTTTCTAAGAAGCAGAAAAAAAATAGCTTCTTCCCAAAAGCACTTTTGAGAAAAATACACTTATAAGCACTTCTTAACAGCTTGCCCAAACACAATTGCTGCTCAAAAATACTTTTCACATTAATTAAACAAACACAAATTGTTTCTCACCAAGAGTACTTTTTTAAAAAGCAATTTTGAGAAAAACACTTTTCAAAATAAGCTGATTGTAGAAGCTTGGCCAAACAGGCAAATAGAATGGGTATAGCGCTTGCTAAACCCTTAGTTTTAAGATAGAATGTCGTGACTTCTTGCCCCACCCTCGGAGAGAAACAAAGATATACACCTAATTGATCAGCTTTAATCAGATGTATAATATCATTAACAGCGTAGAAAGAGTTCCAATATTTTCAACAGAGTTCAATTTCTCTGGAGCCTAAAGCAAGTGAGGACTCTCTCTCTCTCTCTCTGGAAGACAGTACGCATATCTGCCATAGATTGACATACAAGAAGAATATCAGGTTTCAAAATATCGTTCACAAACTTCTTGCCCAGCCTAAATTTGGAATGTGTTATTCAGTCCTCTGACAGAGAGCACTTCAAAAATGATGAACCGAAAAACTCATGCATGGCAAGACAGGAAAAACTGGAAAGATTAAACAAGAGGGATATGCATTGACTCCAGTAAAACTAATGAAATGTTTATTATGCATGTAGTTCTCTGCTTTATATCAAATTTCATGCACACAGCTGATAAGCAATAGTTGACCACTATCAAAAAATTTCCAAACTTTTTAAGATATTGAACAAACGATATTTCTTCATTCAGGGTAACTAATCAGCCATATTATTGGTTATTGACCTCAGGTTAGAGAACTTCTTAGTTTATCATTATTCCACTCCCGCAGTGCAGCTTAGAGAACAAACACACAAGTGCACTGAGTCTGACGCATGACAACTCCAAGCATCTTTCAGCTTTAAGAGTATCTTTTCATTCTTTCCTTTTTTTGCATAGGTTGATAGAGGAGAACATTTAAGTGAAATATATGTGCACAAAAGTCAGAAAATACATTCATGAATGGCACATCATGAACTCTAAGAATATCTAGACAGGAGTGAAGACCATGAACTGGTAAAATGTCACATTCTGGCTCTTATTGAATGGTGTAGGTAATGATCATATTCCTTTTCCGCATGATGAGATTAGAATTTGTTGAAGATACCTTTCTCCATGATTATATATAGGGGAATGCATTATACTAGCCAACAACATGAGAAATACCAACACTGTAAAGGAACCCTTGTATAATATCTAGCCTAATATACCGCCACCATTCAATATCAATCTTTCATATTCAAGATCTCCTATTCCACTCTCCACATGCAGAATTTCTGTCACTTCCCACTTTGCAGCCTTCAGCACATGCTGCTAAGTTAACCATATTCTCTAAGACATTGAAGAAGATAATAACATCAGTAACGCCGTCCTACAAATGAGGGTGGATATGCATCTGTAGATCAGCCAACCATCTACCAACATGAAAGAAGACCAACTACATACATGACCAGTTTTTGTTGATCTCCATATAATGTATAAATATCCAACACTTTTCAATATCGAGCTTTCAACTTCAAAGAGCTGCAACTTGCATTGTCATATACCCAGACACGATTTGTACAGGCAGAATCACCATCACTACTCCCTGTTGCAGCCCTATTCGTATACTTCTCAACCTCAAAATGACCAACATTCAATGCATGCTATTCTCCTCTAACCACAGGATATCTGGTATAGGTTCATAGAGCTACAGATGCATTTACAATTAAAGCTTGAACCATGTCAATCATCTAAACACAATCACTCAGCCTCTACAATATTTGGCCATTGAGAGGAAAATAAAATTAATGACACCAATTCTTTTGTCCTCCAAATTCATGCAGTCATGATCACCCTCCAGTTTTACTCCCTGTAGACCTATACTTAAACAATTTGATCCTGCTTAGACTTCTCAATCTCATTTAACCAATATCAGAGACATGGTATAGGATATTCAAAAAGTAAAAGTTGACTAAGGATGCATTGCATGCATATTCATCAACTAGAAACTACAATAAAGATATTGATTGACCATGTCAGTGAAGTAAAGCCATGTGAAACCACGTACATGATATATGTTCATAAAGATATGCAATTAGCTTCTCCTTTGCATTACTCTACAATACTGCCCAATCATTAATTAAGAACATTCTTCACATCCTCATTGGAACCCAAACGAGAATAGAAATAATAGATATTTTTGAGCAAAAAGTTAAATATGACAAATAAGTCAAAATAGAGAGCAAAACGAAGAACTGGAAGTACCTGTCTGGCAAGGACGTTACTTTGTTCACGAATAAAACCTACAGGCTAGAAAGACAATATACAAATAAGAACTAATTGATTAATGAGGGCAAACTTGTTAGATCACACATTCCATGCATGCAGTGAACTGCAGCCTTAGAAGTTAGAACTAGAAGGTGTTAGACGTTACTTACTGACTGTGGGTAACAGACATCCATAACTGCATATCTGTTTTCCTGTAAATTGACAAATCAATCACAAACCCCAAAGTAAATTTATAGTGAAGATAAGTAGATCAAAGAAAAAGACCAAAATAGACCCAAAAAACTGAAAACTTTACAGATATACAACCCCAAAACATATCTCAAGACCGCGATAAAACCCTGGAAGAAACTCATGTACAATTGATGTCTCTAACATCCTCTGGCATGTATAATTCAATTTGGCTTTGCAACTGAAGTAAATATTTTTGTTCTCTTTTTCTCTTCAAGCTTTTTGGGTGCTCAATAGGGTTGATTTTTGAGGAGTTCAAGGAACTCAACAAAAATAATGGGCCCGAAGCAAGCAGAGTAGGTTTAAGTAGGATGAGAAATGAGCTTGAAGCAAAAATATTGCTCTGATGGTTGAGTCAACAGAAAAACCCTGAGTGAGCAAAACGCAGATAAAATATAAAATTGAGCCAAAATTAGAGAGAGAATGGTTGCATCAGACTTCTGAATAGCAAAGGAGTTCACTAAACTTAAGTTTAATCCAATATGAAAGAATGCAAGCATTCAACCACAATGAAGAAAGCAGCCTAGGGGCTAGGGCCGTTTCAGTTGGAACCTCGTACATCGCCAGTAGGACATCTTATTTCCATGAGGTACATAACCTACTTAATTCTAGAGAATATCTAGTCCTTGTACAATATAATTAATTGGTAGCCTAGCTAGATCAGTGCCTATATTTTGATCATTAAAACATAAAGGAATATCATCAATAATTCTAAAAGGAAAATGATTCTTTCTTCAGTATATTGTTCTTCTCCCTCGATCTGTTTTACTATTAGAGCCAAAACACATTAAGCAATATAGTGCTCAAAAATCTCCCAGGGTGCCAGTGTTTCCCTTTACCTTGCTTCCAACCCAAAGATAAAGTGCTTTCCTTTAACTTTTCTCCAAAACAAAGATGCAGTACTAGAGAAGAAACAATCTACTAGCTTCACATTCTGGAGGACAGCACTTTTTTTCCTTTCCGTTTGACAAGGATAACTAGTACTTCTGTTTAGCAATTCATTGTTCCTTCTTCAATCAATTATCCAAGATCAGATGTTCTAAAATATGATGCCTGAGTCAGATGGATAATGCTTAAAAGCTAGCCAATACCAAATGACTCTAAAACAGAATCCAGTTATCCAAATAATCTTGCAAATATCTAGAAGGGTAGAGTCCTTGTGTTTAACATAAAGAAAACATAAAGTTGAAGAACAGCAAAGACAAAAAGCTTCATTTTGCAACCCCTCGCCCCTAACTATTCTTTTTCCCTTCATATGCAGATGCATATCGCTCCTCTCCCCCTCACTCCAAGTCACAAATTCTTCCCTCTCTCCAAACCACAACCTGCACATACACATGACATGTGTAAACATGAACACATTGCCTTGAAAGTAAGGACCTAGTATTCTTGTGATAAACATGTCCAATAAGTGGAGAACGACATTAAACAACACTTTCTTCCTCAAAGGCTCAACAACAACAACAACAACAACAACAATAACAATAACAATAATAACAATAATAATAATAATAATAATAATAATTGCAATAGTAATAATAATAATATTAATAAGAATAAATTAGTAAACACCACAAACTTACTTGCTCAAAACCAAGCATAAGATTAGCCCACTCTATATCTCTTGTAATTAGCAAGTTAGATCTTGCAAGAAGAGGTGCAACCTTGGCCTGAAAAAAGAAAGATATTAAGATATTGGAAACTCGATGCTTTTTTATAAACTATAAACAGATTACTAAGGCAGAAACCATAAAATTTCAGATTGATAACAATAGCTACATATGTACATGTTTGATCAGGAAGAGTAACAAATTACAATGAAAATTTTCCACCTGAAATAAAGAGCTCATAAACTACAAAAGAGACATTCTAGCAGTGTCTCTAAATGAAAATATAAAGTGAGCCGTGTGTACATCCTAGCCAAAGCAGCTTAAAATGTGCCCAAGGCAGTTGATGGAAGTGTGGCTTCGGCTCAGCAAAGCCTCTACTGCTCACTTAGGAGCCAGGAATGCCGGTATTTGAGATGAAGAACTTGAGCAAGAACCAAGCAAATAGATATATAGTTCCTTAAGCACGGAAAAAATATCTCTAAGATAAGATCCATGAGCTGCAAATATGAGGATTTAGAGATTCTGTCACTCTTAAAACAACAAGGCTAGTAGAGCACTAAGTAGAGCCAAAGATTTCCCATAAAGCGAACAAAAAGCCATTGGGGTATAAACACTTCTCATAGTGCATGAGTGGTAATAGACACATTATTCATTAGAGCCATGAATTATTAGAGCCATGAATTAGGAAGTAAACAACCTAATCAGTTCCTAGAGCAAAACACTAACCTGCATACACATTCAAATTTAAAGAAGCAACAAAGACATAAGAGATTGGCCATTTCGCAGCTAGGAGACCAATCAAAGTACTAACTTGGAAATTCAATTTCATGTTTGGAGTCATATATGTCGAACATAAAATTCTCCATTTCTTTGCTATGAATGGTTGAAGGGTTCGACAACTCTACCTCCTCAAGTGATGTTGGCTCCAAAATACCTGTCACAGATTGGCTAGTAGGTGGTTGCTTGAGAACTGGCTTGACTTCACTGTAAGATGTCTCTTCTGGAATGGACGCACCTGAAAACCATTTTCCAAATGGAACTTGGGAAGATGTTTGACTTCCAAAACCTGTTCTTCTCTGGTCTACGGTATTTCTCAATTTTCTTTTTTGTATTCCTCCAGATCTTTGTTTCTTTTCATCGGCAAGCCAAAGCTGCACAAAAAATTCCCTGCTTAAATCAGGACCATCTGCCGACCTCTGCCCATATTGGCGAGATAAAACAATTGCACCTGGTCTAGTCCCTTGGGCAAGGCCAGTAACAAATCCAGGCAGTTTAGCCCTCCCTGGGACAGTTCCTTCATAATTAAATGCTTCAGAAGGATTTCCAGTTGGACTAAGCGAGGACGATAGGTATCCTCTTTGTGATTGTGACTGGAAAAAAGAATCCTTTGTAGCAACAAAAATCCCATCCCAAAGCTCATTTATCGTGAAACTTTCTGATGATCTGCACTTGTATCGCTTGGATAAACAACGAAAACTGTTCCTCCAGCTCATCTGGTGATACGGTAATCTCAGTCGAATATATTATCAATCTAGATATAATGCGTATTCTTAAGTAGTAACAAGATAACAAAAAAACAATATTTCATATGGGAGTAGTAAATTGCAGCAACAAACCAACATATAGACCAAAAATTTGATAAATACAAAGTATATTCGAGATATCTATCTCAAAAACAGACAGACAAACAAGAATCAAGAACACAAATTGTATTTCGTTATTTGTTATAGAACACCAGAGAGAGAGAGAAGGGTTATCCAAATTCAAATGAAGAGTTCAACAATCAGATGAATCACTTTGATTGAATTGTCTCACCTTTGCATGACAGAGTTGAATATCAAAAATGTTATGCTACAGAGAATTTGTAGAAGTTGTAGAGGTGTTGGAACCCCAATATCGCAAGGAAGAAATAGAATTTTTCTTTGAAGTTGCGAGAAAGAAAGTTAGAAATATCTTTTGTGGGTAGGTCTAACTTTGCCCTTAAAGTATACCTTTTAACATCTTTAATCCCTTAAGTTTGCTAAAGTAGAGCGGCTTTAGTCCTTCTAACTGAACCTGGCTAAAACTAACGGGACTATCAACTTGATCCTCCTCCTATTGTCTGTCCCATAGTTTCTCCATTTCAACCTTCACGTTTGAAACTAAGTAAAAATATCATAATCCTTCCAATGTCCGAATTTGCAAGACCTTATTAAGTGTAAACATGCGGACTAAGCAAAAGAAATGGCAAACAAGTGAAAGACTTGAGCTAGAAGAAACAGTTTACACAAATTCTAAACTAGATTTTCAACATGATATCTAGAGTTTAAAAAACACTCATCTCACTCTGACTATATAAAGTGACAGTAGATGCCACTCCTTATCTGCATAAAGTTTTGAAATCTACAAATCTGCGCCTAACTTAAAAAAAATGAAAGGCCTCATGATATCACTTGCAACTAATTTCCCTTTCAATTTTTAGCTAACTAGAGACCAAAATGGAATACTAATTATTTCAATAGTTGATGCAACTGTTTCGTAAATTTAACGGGAAATTTTATCAAACTAGTAGAAGAAATTGAAAAAAAAAATCAACAGATGGATGGATGTTAGAAATTTTTATAAAGCCGAACGTAAGTAATGATTCACAAGGGAGAAAAGTTTCTATGCACTATACAATCAAATCCAACTCTGAAGTACATAAAGAAAATCAAAGCTTCACCTAATGCCTTTCTTCTTGCCTTTTTTCGTAATCAAAGCTTTTCAATGGCGATTGCGGTTTTTGAGGGTTCGGGAATGCGTTTACCTTTTTTAATTGCTGGTTTTTGTTTTGTTTTTTTACGGTGACACGTGAGTTTTAACGGGTCACCACTAGTTTTAGCCAGAGTTTGTTAGAAGGACCAAAGCTGCTCATTTTAGAAACTTAAGGGAATAAAGATGCTCAGTGGTATATTTAGAGGACAAAGTCAAACTTACCCTCAAAGATAAGGGACAATTTTAGCTAAAAACTCCCACTATTGTCTATGGTCGGGCCGGGTTTTGTACCCGATACTGTTTTAAATTTTGTTCCCCGTTTAAGAAATCTGTGCAGAATTTACTAGGAAAAACAATTGGACTAAAATAGCCTCGGTGACATCAACTCCTCTACTACCTGTTATGAATAGTTAGGCTAATAAAATAATTTGTTATGTACAATAAAAAATTAAAAGAGTATTGCAGAGAATAGCCGGGAGAGAGAATTCTTATTGATTTTGGGATGATTTACAATGGAATAGAACCCCTTTATTTATATGAAAATAGTGACTTAGCCACCAAGTAATAATCACTAAAATCTCTCTAAAATATAGTCATTCATCTTAAATACAATTCTATATTATAACACTCCCCCTTGAGTATCTATTCAATAGATAATGTGCCTCGTTAAAAACTTAACTAAAATAAAACTCAGTGGAAAAAAAATTCTAGAGAAGGAAAAGGAGTACACATATTTAGAAATACGCATTTTGGTTGCCTCGTTAAAACCGTTGCAAAGAAAACTCAATGGGACAAAACCTTGTAAGCGAAAAAGAGTACAACATGTATTAACTCCCCCTGATGAGAGCATCAATTCACATCTCTGAGCCTTCGCATTCCAATCTTGTGCACCATCTACAAAAGATCGCTGGTAGAGATTTGACAAACAAACTAGCCATATTAACTTGAATGAATATATTGCACCTTGAAATCATCATTCTTGATAGATATATAATGTCTTCATATAATGTCGTGAAATGGCTTTTCAATATCTCCATAGAGGTAAAAATTCTCGCTATCATATTATCATGCTTATAGTTATGGCAAGATACAAATGTGCACAAATTGCACTTAGAATGTAGTACTTCATGACCAAGAATTCTAGATGCTTTAAGCAATTTAAATCATTCAGGGATTGTCATATAATTTAAGTCATATAAGCCATATGAATGGACTTTAGATTTACATCAGGTTTTCATGTCATGCTAGACATATAAGATAGATAAAGGCGATTGTACACACCATTGACTTTATACTTTCAAGTGTTTGAACTGCAGGTCCAAAACTATATGTCTTTCATACGAAACAAATTCTACTTGAATTGTTTCTTCAGACTTGAGATCTTCATATATATTTAACGTTATCATAGATGTAATCCGCGAATATTTTATATCGGTTTCAACCACCTTTTTCATAAAGACATGACATAGAGATTTCTTTATTCATATTTTCAGGTACCTAAACCTCTCCTGAGACTTTATGAAGTATTGTGTCATGTGATCTTCTAGATCACTTGCCTCCTTATTACGATCATTTATAGGAGCATTTGCAGTGAGAATATAGTTACTTTCTTTGGGTCAACAAATGCGTCTGGCATGCTTTGCAATATATTGCAGATCAATTATCTTTTTATGAACTGCAAGTTCATATTATTTTATTAAAGGATCTAGATGTACAATTGATAATTCATTCCACGTAACTTTTTCTCAACTGTTTATCTTGTCTCCCCTATGTTAGAAAAACTAACCTGCTTCCTCAACTTTGGAAACCCACTTTTGTGCGTTATGGTGTTAATCAAATATACACCGCTCGCCAATAATGATTGAATTATTTGTTTCCTGACCGTGAACCACTTGTAAGGGGAGAATGTAATATACTTTCGTGTATAACCTATATCAAACTGATATAGATAACTTGTTTTCTCATAAGCAATAGTTTAACTATTAAATGGAGGCACTCAATAAATCATTTTGTCTAAACCAGTTGTGATGTAAACCAACTTATCAAGATGAACTGTCTTGAATAGAAATATGGAAATTATGTTCGAAGTTAAATTATTGAGCAAGTTACCTCGCAAACAACAGGTTGCGAATTAATAATAATCACACATGTAACCATCTCATAGATGCATCTTATGCGGTATACATGGCAAGTGAACCGGCTCATATTCACCTTTGATATTTCCAGTATTCATGGGATTCAATCCCAGTTTTAGTTGGTCTATTAATTAATGAGAACAAGCAACATAAGATAATTCATAAAGAACTTTCTAGTTCTTCAATATTTACCAATGTGAATTCTCTTTTATTTTAGCACATCATACTTAAATTAACATGGCTAAACCAATTATGCCAACTGGATAAATTATCAATATTGATAAATTTTAGATTTATACCATAACGTGTGCACCAAGTTTATTATGATATGGGTTTTTATATCAATAAACTTCTAATTTATTGTGGTATTTTTTTTGTTTGTGTAGTACACATTGAAAAATAAAGCGGGTAGCTTTTCACATACATATTAGCCCGCTATAAGTTATAGTAATAGAAGATATTAAATCTTTCCTTTATTTATAGTCTCAATATAACCAATTATTTTCGCGAATACTTCAGAAACTCAATAAGTTTCTCTGAGACTTACTACAACATAATACCTTATTAGCAATCAATTTTATTTCTCCAAATTAGTATAATTGGCTCTTCTAGAGCTTTCAATTAATTTTGTACTACCACATATTTATCAACATCCATATGGTAAATATCTCTTTCAAGGAGAAAGATATACCATAATGATCATGGTCAAAATTATATGCAAGATCTGTTTCTTGCATTACTATTGTCCTTTAATAATCACATTGCCAAAATATTTTGGCGTACAATAGGTACTTAACCAATGACCATTCATGCCATAATAATGACATTATTTTTTTTATTTTATCTCAAACCTCTTTCTAGAGGTGAGTGTGGCATATTCACTACCACTAGCACGTTCATATTATTTCAAGAATGAATATGTATTCATAAATTGGATATTGTCACATTCACATCATGAATGGACCAAAATCATCTATATGTGCTTTACAAAATCTCATGTCAAATCGATGACAAATATTACTTTCACAGAGTGAAGGATTATTTTGAGAATCTTTATTATTCTCATTACACAATGATGACGATTATAATTTTGTCTATTACCACGTCCACATCCATTGATACCTTCACGGTAATGATTTTGTCTTCTTTCATACTTATCACATACTGCTATCATATTCTCTTAAGGGAATGAGAATTAAGCAAATTCAATGGGATAGGGTTTCACTTCTTTGCCCATAATCATACATGAATTTGATCATGGCAAGGAATAGAAATTTCACCACTTCGGGTGGTTATAATTTCTTGCAAACTCTGTTAAAGTTATAATCAAAGTTTATTGTCTTTGCTTATATTTAAAATCAAATTATAGAATTTCAAGAATTTAAAAGAGAAAAATAAAGTAAAATACTTACCTTAAATCCAGAATTTAATCATGAAGGAAGTTCATGGAACAATTGACAATCATTATGCTCAATCCCAAAGCTTCTACTCAATTGGTTAGAGTCTCGTGCTGATAACGTGTTATGAACAATAAAAGATGAAAAGAGTATTGCAGAGAATAGTAGGTAGAGAGAATTCTTATTGATTTCGGAATGATTTACAATGGAATAGAACCTCTCTATTTATAGGGAAATAGTGACTTAGCCACCAAGTAATAATCCCTAAAATCTCTCTAAAATATAGACATTCACCTTAAATACAATTCTATTTATAACACAATTGTAGTTATTAAGAGTCGATGGTGGGTTGTGAAGAAAGAAGCGGAAGAATTAGCAGTTGAAAATGAACGACCCAGATTGTAAGATGATTAATAAGCATCGAGCGTGGAGATTTTGCCAACTCAGCTTTTGCCAACTCAGTCATTCTGTTATACAGGTAACAGAAAGCAACGATGAGGCAACACATACCTGGTATATCCAAATTCTTTTCTCTTTCTCTTTCTCTCTTTCTCTCTCTCTCTCTCTCTCTCTCTCTCTCTCTCTCTCTCTCTCTCTTCTTCTTCTTCTTCTTCTTCTTCTTCTTCTATATTCTTCTCGTTTCTAACTCTAGGTTCCTTCTTCGATTCTGCAG